TGAATCCATGATTCTTGTGGCCATTTTGTATCCTAAAATAGGATATATTACTTATTCTAAGATTTTGACAGGTTATATGACCCCATATAAATTGTGGTTTGCGTATATAACCCGAGCCGCTATGCAAGCCAAATAACATGCCAAGAATCTTTATAACGAATTTATATACAGCAAACTTCCTTTATTATAGCAAAAATAAAATGAGCTGCGTCATGACAAAACCAACATAATGGGTTTGCGACCAGCATGGATCCAGACCAGCCTGCGCATCCGCGCAGTCTGATCAGGATCCATGCTGTTCGCTATCAGTTTCTCTACTTGTAATAGGGTCTGTAAGCGAACAGCATGGATCCTGATCAGACTGCGCGGATGCGCAGGCTGGTCTTGATCCATGCTGGTCGCAAACCCATTATGTTGGTTTTGTTGTGACGCGGCTCAAATACTTCATAGATTAAGAGCAGCCGTGCATGTATAGTTTTTTTTAATAAACGTCACGGATATCAAATGTAAAGCTACTTCACAAACGTACAGTATTACAAAAGAAAGTATTATACTAAATTTTGTTCCTATCAATCCTATATTAGACGAGGTACTAGCATAGACAAATATTAATTAATGAGTCTGCATATATTTGTTATTTTGACACAACTTTGGTACTTCGAGGGCAATAAGGATTTGCCTATGAGTCAAAAAAGTACAAGCCATCATATACGGGTTAATAGCTTTAAAGATATAATTATCGTGGTGAGTTAGTAAGAATCTGTACAATAAATGGGAAAGGAAACAACATAAAGGTTTGCCAGTCACAACAAAGTATAAACTGTACTTGCTGACTTTGTAAAGGCTACAGGACTGGTTCAACTTGTAAATGGCCACACAGTCCCTTATTTTGCCATGTTCTTTAAAATATACATATCAGATTATCAGAAAGATTACGGATATAATTCTAAAATAACCCATGTAATCACCACAATATTTGTCTACAGCGTTCATTATTGGCCACGTGACACTATGACTAATATTATTAATATGTAACAGATGTTCGTATCGTAAAATCTATAGAACCTCCACATATAAAATTATAATGTATACATTTACATTATACCCCATTTAAAGAAATGTATTTGCCGAACAGGCCTTTCTAAGCTTAACGTTTTTCAATATCATAATACAAAAAAGTCACCGACAGTATATTATATGAATGGTCAAACTGCACGCAAGCGCATGCTTAGCATTTCCAAAACTGTTAGGAATCGCGCTAGTTTCGAGCTTCGTACTTTATACAGGTAACTGAGTCCTCCAGAAGAATATTAATCATTTTGGAATTTAGACGATAGTGCAAGATTCAGAAAGATGCTTAGAATCTAGAAATTTCTCCTGGTTCTCCAGCATGCCATTTAAAAGCGCTTATACATAGTCTCATCTAACAGACTGTTTAAGTAATTTTTAGTTATTTAGTCGAAATTCCAAGCCTCACGCTCTAACCGACTGATCTATGCGGGCTTGCACGGCTGGCGCCAGTTTTTGAGGTATTTGGTAGTTCATTTTCTTTTCACGTGATATTAACGTCTCCATTCTGGCGTAGTAAAGGTGGCATTGGCAAAAATCATGTTAAGTGTGTATGTCGCAGGCCAGGAAGATATAGAGCTGGATCGACTAATTCATAAAGAATGAAAAAAAATATATATTTGAAAAGCAAAACGGTTTAGATGCAGTATACAGAAATCATTCAAGGTTAACAGGTAATATTTGTAAATTTGTAAAACTGACATTTCAAGTCATAGAAAATTGGCAGAAAATGTCTCAGTACGGAAAAGGAGGATCAAAGAGCGAAAAGGTCATGTTGATTTAAATCACAATTTATTTTGAAATAAGGTAAGATACAAATCAAACAGCACGATATTCCCTACTTGATCTTTCCGCCACTAAATTTGCATAATTGACTCGTCCTGTTTTGAATCTGGAACAGTCGACTGACATTTTTAAGGGCTTGAATTTACAAAAAAAGAGTTAAAAATACATAATTGAACCTGGTAAGATATATACATGTATAAAAATTATGTATACTGCCCTGGTTTCATAAAGAAGCAGACGACAGTCCTACATATTATAGATGTGCAGGCTGGCTTGATTTTATAATGCTGACGTAGGAATAAAGTTATCGTTGACTTCTTTAAAGCAACACACCTCCAGATTCATGCTAATTTTCATGAAAATTTGAAAATGTATTTCGTAAAGTTACCAAAAGAATGCAATTTACACATTATCAGTTGCAGTCACAACCTATGTAAATTACTATAAAGAGGTCAAATTGTGCAAAAATAGCCGTTACTGCGTTAGTAACGCAGTAGAAATAATATTATAGTTATAAATACTGAAAAATTCGGTCATTAATCGCACAAAACATAAAATTTTTTACTAGAATTTTGAATCTTTATACCTTCCCTAAAATCGTAGTACTTTTTTCTCAGGTTTGATTTTATCGAAATATTTTTGCTCATCATTCTTGAGGCGTGAAGCTTTAATCTACACGTGCACATGACAAATTGTCATAAATAGTAAAACAGTCCTTGGATGTTATTGTTTACATTAGTTTGTTCGAATCAATCTATCAGAATGCAGCAGCTGTTGATGTTTTTTCTATGAATGAGACAAAGATAAAACGAGTCTTTAAGTCCATTGTCATCATTTTACACGTTCGCATAGCAAAGATGACAAAAGATAATGTGTTTTATTAAGAACTTTTTGAACTTATTGATCCTACCAAGTTAAAACTGACCACGTTCTTTCCTGGGTTTACGTCCCAGGCCATTCGACGACTTTCCAACTGTATTTGCTGTTAAGACCTCAGGTGTCCCTAAATGACTATTCTAGAACATGCAATTGTGTAGACACTTTCATATTGTAAAAGAAATCGCTGCAATAACAGGTTTTGTTTTTCATGGAGATATGATTTAATTTACACATTCTTAAAATTCAATAAATATTTAAAAATGCGTAATAAGCGCGTTTTCACTGAAACAAATGTGCTAAAAGTTATCAATCATTTTCGTTGACAGTCTACCTGCATGCCTGTATAAAAATGTTTAGAGTATCATAGGTTTTCCGGGAAGGTCTTAATCTCATGTTGGAAGACCCATTTGCTTTTATTGATAATTTGTATATTGACATATATGTTACCTATTTTACATGTATTTGTAGCAATAGAATAAGTTTCAACTAAACTATAGAAGCGAACAAATGTCTTATTTCATACATATTTGACTAGATAATGAAGTAAGAAAACAGTATATGCATGTACAAAGGGACCGTAACTGTATGTTATTAGACTGGAGACATCAGTGCATGTATTTCAGACACACTCAATGTACGTAAATTTCTAAATTCGATTCGAGTAGCTAGATTTATGTTAGTATTAGCTTTGAACCCAAACAAATGGTAGTCTATTACCTCTTTGTTCAAATCTAGGTTACTGGGTCATTAACCTACTATATCAGTGGTCCGTTTATATGAAACATATGGGTCAGCAATTTATGGAAATATTAACTGTTTTTATGGCAAATCGGTAACATTCAAATACCAACGATCCCCGGATTACAAAACAAATATTCTTCACATTATCATACATGTGACAAATGAAATAGGCCAAATCTGGATTTTCAGCTGGATTTTGAGGCTCAAAACTGGATTTTTTTATCGACTCGAAATTTCAATGCGTGTTTGGCACATTTGGTTCAAAGAATCTATATTACCCTCAAAATCATTAAATGATTATACTTTTTATGCTTTTTTGTTGATCAATATTTATTTATTTCACCAAAAAATAATAAGATAGATTAATAAATTTACACATTTTATCATTTCATTATTTTCAGTTTGAAGAATTATATATCTGTCTTTTCAGTCATACAATAATTGGTTAATAATTTAAAACACAAGCTATTTGAAAACGTGCAACAACTATTCATGAAAGTTAAATAACATAACATAAGTAGAAGTCTCAAAATAAATGCAAGAATCGTTCAGTTAATTAAATCCACATTTTTGCCTCGATGATTGCGAAATTCCTAAACAAAACAAAAAAATTGCCTCTCACTAGACATAGGTTAATTAGACATCTCAAACAGGTTTTTGAATGATCCACTTTAAATGATTCTGCTCACCTTTTATCTTTATCAGTGCGGCACTAATCAAAGAAAATCAAAGGTTGAGCCGAATTCATTCATGTAAATTTACAGGGTAGTTTTGATGACGTAGCGTGTAATACCTACAGAGGTCAATTGACTGACACGTGTTAAGTTAAACATGTGAGAATAACTTTGGGTATTGGAACTGTTTATTACGTCACCTTGCTGTCAATTAAGGACAGATAACAATCAATGCCCAGAGGCATGCTTTACATTTTAGATACAGGTGCTGTGTTTGATTTTTTTTTATGTTGATTTTTTATTTAAATATCGGGAATTCAAGCTGTATAATCGGGAATCGGGATCAGTGTCGAAATATCGGGATTTTTTTAAATCCCGCCGGGATGTCACATGTATGCATTATGGTAACCGCAAATCACCGTCATGGCTTCGTTATTTGAAACACATTTGTTTCGAGAAACTGAAATGTCTGATATGGCAATTTCTAAAATTTTAAACTTTAAATTATCTAAAAACAAATGTCAAGAAAACACAAAAAACAACTGAACTCAATAAACATAGTTTTCTTTTTTTTTATTTCTTAATAAGTTATATATGAGAAAAATAAATATGAGCCGCGTCATGACAAAACCAACATAATGGGTTTGCGACCAGCATGGATCCAGACCAGCCTGCGCATCCAAGCAGTCTGATCAGGATCCATGCTGTTCGCTTACATACTCTATAACAATCAGAGAAACTAATAGCGAACAGCATGGATCCTGATCAGACTGCGCGGATGCGCAGGCTTGTCTGGATCCATGCTGGTCGCAAACCCATTATGTTGGTTTTGTCGTGACGCGGCTCATATATCTATGAGAATTGAAAGATTCTATTACTAAGTTGATTTTAATTTCCCTCTATGCCTTATATTTTCAGGTTGAGATTTTCTAGCGCTATTTGGACGTATAAATGTTGGTTTTCTAAAAGCTTCTGAAAAATCTGGACAAGCTTCAATCTCCTGTAAAATAAAAAACAATGTGTTTCAAAAGAAACAAATATACATTGTCAGATTTCACTTATTAGATATTATGAATATATTATACATTGTCTTGAGTTTAATACTAAATTCTACTAGACGAGTACCCAGCCTGTAAAACCTATATTGGACGAGGCGCTAGCAAAATCTGTTATTTGTTTTGCAGCTGCTTACAAGTCCAAAATTTGAGCACAAATGTGCATAATATATCATGAACTAAAGTAGAGCAACAACCTGAATGAAAACTGTCTGCCTATAGCCCAATGACAGTTGGCTTAAGACAAAACTTAGCCTGCACAATTATGTTACTGGTAAGCCAGGCATTGGACTAGCAAGCGACTGATTTTAAAAATACAGCTTTCTTTGTTTTCAATCCAAAAATTTATACAGTTTTAACTACAGGAAAATATGTATCATCATTATTAGAACAGATCACACATCAACTTACATTTTCTGGTTGAAATATCTTGAGAATAAAGAGAAAGAATAAATCTAGAACCATTGCTATAACAAACAACTTCCCAGCAAGTGGTCCACATTGATAATATCTGAAAAATTAATATTGTAAAATTGTTATAACAACATCTCTGTAGCTACCAAATATCAATTTATCTAATGTTAATCTAAACGTTAATTAAATTGGAGAGCCCTTTATGTGCTGTGTTTCTTAAATGGACTTGTCCAGCTTCCGTTTTTGGAAGTGTCTATTTTCATTTGCTGGGGAATCAGGAATTCAGGATGAAAATTTAATAAGCAATTAAGAGTCTTGTATTGCTGCATGGAAGTGCAGGTCAGTCGAGTTTTATACTGGCAAAGACTTATCACTTTTGGTTCCAGCAGGCTGAGAGTTAAGCTCTTTGTCAAATGCTGCATAATGTTATTAGATTGTAAATAAGGGAAAGCCCAGGCAAATCCTTAAAGTGAATTAGTCTATAATGGAAGATCTGTAACACCATGAATAATCATGTTGGTAGTATTTAGTATCATAGGTAAAATGGAATCACAGAAGAATTATATATGGAAGTTGTTGGTAAGATTTTGATACATGATCTGATATGACATATCAATAAGTTTTCTAGAACAAAATACATGTATTATTATTCATCATATAAATGTTCATACTAAATCCATTTAGATCACTATCAACATTTTGTTTTTTCAAGAAATATTTCATAAGAATATCCAATTGATACATTTCTTTTTGTCAATATTTAAAATACTTAGAGAAAATGTGACCATTGTAGACCAATCCACTTTAAAATTTTAAATTTTCATCTGGGATACATACATGTAAATAGTTATACTATATCTTCTAAGTGAAAATTTGCTATATTTCGTTTAACTGTGTCAAGAACAGGAAAGTCTGTTGTTTTTCCTTCATGTATATGGCATGCATTTATCTACTGGCTTTGCAGAAGCTAGTTTGAATATCTTCCTCCCATGAAAGAATTCAAGAGCATGCATAAACATACAAAACAGTACAGACTTACATATCACTTTTAATATCAAAATTAATAAATTCTATGTTAAATGACCATAAGTATTAAGGGTACTTAACTCCTTTACTCACCTTCTGATTCTTGTACTCATATCTGGGTCAGGTAACTTATGAACCATGTCATAAACCACATCCGTTCTACGTGCAACATTAGGCCATGTGTACATGTTCTTGATACGTTCGTGAGCCTCGTATGGGTCTATAACTTTACCATTTCTCTGATCTGAGATGGCATCCTCTAAAGCTGATACTAGCGCTGAAATAAACGAAAATAAATAAATTATTTTCTTTATGTTCTTTAACTTGCACAAATACATGTATGTATCAGTGCACAATTTTTAGTTTGTAAATGAACACTTTTCTATTACACATTAATACACTGTTTATATAATTAGTTTAAACATTTAAGTTCAATTGCAAAACAAGTTATTGCAACTTAAATAAATCACTTTCAAGTCCAATTCCCGGAACTAACCAGTACTGGTGTTGAATGAAGAAACATGATAGTGTTAGTGTAGGGCTCAAACCTATGATTCCTGGGTTATGAGACAGACACCTTAAACACTAGGCCACTGCTCCCCTTTTATAACTGTAGATGATAAAGACAATTTTCTTGCCCCAAGATAAAAAGATTTACAATGATTTCAATTCACTCCAATTTTGTTGACAACACTGGACTCTGCCAGGTAAACCAAACAGAGTATTATTCCTGTCTTAATGTAAATTTCAAATTTTTAACTCTATGGTTGTCTGAAAGATAAATGAGCCGCGTCATGACAAAATCAACATAGTGCGTTTGCGACCAGCATGGATCCAGACCAGTCCAATCAGTCTGATCAGGATCCATGCTGTTTGCTTACCAGCTCTATTACAAGTAGAGAAACTGATAGGGAACAGCATGGATCCTGATCAGACTGTGCGGATGCTCAGGCTGGTCTGGATCCATGCTGGTCGCAAACGCACTATGTTGGTTTTGTTGTGACGCGGCTCAAATAACTAAGACATTATGACAACTGACCTTTGACACTAGGTTCTGCCAGTTTTATCATCTCTGGAGGCAGAACTTCAGGTACCCCACCCACTCTTGTACTAACAACCTGTAACCTAGTAATAGTGAAAACTCTGTCAAAAATGTAAACATCTATATAAAAAAATTAAAAACTCACTTTATCAAATTTGACTACATGCTTACATTTTAACCTTTACCATGCTTAATATCTGAACTGGACTTGTCCACTCCATATTTCAATATGGACCAAACCATTATAGTATTTCCAGTTCCAGGGGAAAATTTATAAAATATTTAAACAGGAAGATTCAACCTTAACCCTTACAATCGTAAATATATAATGAACAGACATTTCCATATTTCCATATTTCAATCTGGACAAAAATGTTCATCAATTTCATCTTGGTCTGCCTTGGTCACATGCACAGAGCAGGCTAAGGTTTAAAGCTGCATGCCTCCAGATGAGCAAAAAATTTTCAAGAAAATCAAACTTGGGAAAATTGTAATGAGACTTAAGGCAAAGTAAAATGATTCCAGATAAAAGTAGTAATTTCCATGTTATGTGTGATTAATGACAGATTTAGCAGTATTATACACCATTCATTTTTACTGCATTAATAACTGTGAGTAAAAACAATAACTTACCCACAACATGCAGCCTCTACTATAGCTATACAAAAGGCCTCTGTGAGAGATGTGTTTATCAAAATATGACCTTGTACCAATACCTGAAAGATTAAATATAAATGTTTAAAATATAAATACAGTCAAACCTTGACCTGCTGGAACTTTTAAGTAATTAGACTAAGCCACCAGTAAAGAGCCAGGCCAGTCTGCGTTTCTGTGCAGAGGCTCTAAACTGTTGAGAGCTCAATGTTTGCATTTTATTGTGTATAATCTCATTTTGCCTAAAATGTGACATTTGCATGAACAACAGTATAAAGTTTTTGAGCTCACTACTTCAAGTAAACAATGTTCCTATGTTAATGAATAGTTACTAATAAAACTGCTAAGGATGACACCAAGATGACATTCTAACCAAGTAGTTATTCAAAAGTAGCTGAACTAGCTCTTACATTTCTGACTTCACTATGTTTTAATGGTCCAAGAAAGGTAACTCTGTCTTGTAACTGATTATTCTCCCTGATCTCCTCTAGAAGAGTTCTTTTTGGTCCATCTCCACCTGTATATATACATGTATATATGAGAACAAATTTGATAAAGCCAAGAAAAATATGTTTTACTCACAAATAACATTTTCAAATTAAAAGAGAATTGATAAAAGTAATTTTCCTGAAATCATTTGGTTTATTGACATCACATTTGGTGCCATAAGACAGGCAAATATTTAATTTTTTGTTGGGATTTATGTCGCACTAACACAGTATAGGTCATATGGCAACTTTCCAGGTTTACTGGTGGAGGAAGACTACAGGTGCCCTTCTGTGCATTATTTCAGGCACAAACTGGCACCCTAATAAAACTACTTCTGTTTTGTAAGCTAACTGGATAGCTTTCTCACATGAAAGAATCCGAAATCCATGTCGGGTTTCTAATCCACAGCAGTAACGGGCAAGTGGTTTAAGTCAACTACCTTAACCACTCGGGCACTGATGCCACTAAGCATTATTTCTATGCTCTGCATATATTGTGCAATAATGTTTTGACTACCCTGTTGGTTAATAAAGGAATAATGTGAAGTGTGTTAGAATTTTGAGTTCTTATTACTATGGAGTTTTATTTTTTATACTAAAATAAATATAAAAGCACAAAAAAGGTATATGGCCTCCCTGGCAAAAGCATTTTAGTATGACCTCAAACACTCAAATAAAATGAAAATACATGTACATAATACATGTACTGATCAATATACAATGTACTGGTAGTCATACTGACAAATTTGAGTCGAAGTTTCTACTCTTTCTATCAGTAATTTTTATTATTACATCAAAATAAATAAGATAAATTATGGTAAATGGTAATGGTCACCCTGTCCTGGCTCTATGGATAATAGCAAAAGCCTTTTAGTATGACAATTATCACTCAAATAAAATCAAATACATAATAAATAAACTGACCTATAATAAAGTTAACATCTGGATGTTTATTACAGATCACTGGTATGATACCTGCCAGTAGATCCATGCCCTTCCTGTATACAAGACGACTTACAATCACTATGGTTACTAAATAGAAAAACATATAATCATAATTTCATGTTTTTGCAATTCTTAAAAAATAATTTTCTTTTGTTAGCTATCACTAAAAAAAGGTAACTCTATAAATACAAAAATGTAGTGACCTATTAAACATGTCAAGATGGGCAAGCAAACTACATATCATTCTTCAGTGCTGTTACAAGCAAATATAATAAGATGTTAATAAGATAAGAAGATGTACAAAGATGTTGTATTCAGAATTTTAACTAAAGTGATACACCAACCCGATACTTTTAGTACAAGTGAATATTTCTTTAACCTTTTTCCCC